CCTCACCTGATGAGATGGCCGATCCGTTTCACAAACTGCCTGTAACGGGCTCGGTTGAAGGTTTCCAGCCCCACAGCAAGAAGATTCACGACAGAATTGGCGAAGGTAAGTACCTTCATCATGTCTTGGGAAGTTGTTTTCTCGGAGACGTAGCTGCCTGCTCACAGGAAAGCGTTTCAGAATGGAAATGGCAAATTAGTGCACAAGCTACAGCCAAAGGCAGGGAGAAGAAAGGAAAATTTTCTTACTTATTTAAATTTATATGCCACCCCTTTCACTGCCAGGTGAAAGGGCAGCTTACAACATTATAAAATGCAAATAACATGCATTAAAACATCAGATATTATAGCATTAGATAAGTCAACAGCCCCTAGGAAGAGGAGTGTGGAAGAACTGGGGTTGGAGTTAAAAGAGAAATCAGCCTAGAATCCCTACGACACCACAACGGTTTAAGGCCAAGCTCCCCAGAATTGTGTTGAAATTTTGCTAACTCCAAGCAAGTGCTAACTGTTAGTTGAGAAGATTCCTACGCACAAGCATGATTACCAGTGGTGGAATTCAAAATATTTTACTACTGGGTTCTGTAGGTGTGTGCTTTGTGTGCGCACGGAGTGTTCTAAAATGGGAAATTTTAAGCATGAAAACTTACTGTCACACTGGTGAGGAAAACAGCTGAGGCATGGCAATCTGCTCTGCCACGCCTATCAGCTGAGTTACCAAACAAAGGAAATATAGGACAGGAAAAGGCGGGTGGGCAGGGCCAACTGCTAAACGGTGCTACCAGATCTCTACAACCGGTGCAAACCGGCAGCATACCCCTGATTACCAATAAATCAGTTTAATTGGACCATGGGTGGACCTGTTCTTTCACACTTGAGAGCGCCAAAATACAATGTGTTAGAGATGAGATCTTCTTCAGAGTCCACTAACAACTTCCAACATGGGATGGGCCCATCGGAGCCCCAAACCAATTGGCACAGCTAAGTCTGTAGACCCTTTGCGAAGGCCTGACATTCTTGGCCTAAGCCACAAATTCAGTCTCTTTATTATTATATCTTTTTTTTATTATTTATAAAATGTATTGGCTGCCCATCTTGCCACAAAGTAACTTTGGGTGGCTTACAGGCCTCTCCTAACCCTGGAAGTTATTTTTGTTCCAGTCTTGCATTTGTTCCTTCAATGTTAGCTTTCTGCACAATAATTTCTTGTGGGTTATTTTCAAGAGTGCTTAGCATGAACACTATCAGGGTCCTGTTGAAAACTCATCAAAGGCTACCTATGTGTAAATACTAAAGTAAAGGTAAGAATTTCCTCTGTTCAGTCGTGTCCGATGCTAAGGGATAGTGCTGATCTCAGTTTCCTCATCAAGGGAGTCAGCTTCGTTGAAAAGACACATCCATGGTCATGTGGCCAGCATGACTTTATATCGGAGTAGGGAAAGATGGCGCCTTTATGATGTATGGACTTCAACTCCCAGAATTCCTGAGCCAGAATGGCTGGCTGAGGAATTCTGGGAATTGAAGTACACACGTCATAAAGAGACCAGTTTCCCCCATGCTGGCTCAGGAATTCTGGGAGTTGAAGTCCACATGTCATAAAGAGACCACAGTTCCCACATGCTGGCTCAGGAATTCTGGGAGTTGAAGTCCACACGTCATAAAGAAACCACAGTTCCCCCATGCTGGCTCAGGAATTCTGGGAGTTGAAGTCCACAAGTCATCAAGTGGCCATCGTTCCAAACCTCTGTATGCCCAGGAACACGGAACGCTGTTATGTTAAGGGGATGCTATGTTTTCCCCTTCTCCCTTTTATTTTTTTAATGTCCTGTATTCCTCCACACACACAGACCTCAACAAATAAACACACTGAAGTCTTCATACAATGCAGAGTCAAATACAACATTGCAAGCATCGAAGGAAAAGAAAAAGCGCTTAAAATCAGACAGAGAAACTTTGGCTGGCCTAAATCTCACGAGGTCTACGTTCCTGAATGAATTCTGCTGAAAAGGCAGCCGTCGCTCATTTTAACTGAATTTTTAAAAACCTCCTCAAAAAAAAAAAAAAAAGAATTCGCTTTATAGAGTCGCTCACCTTCAGCATCAAAGCCCAGCATGTGCTGGAAGAGTTCATGGAAAGGGAACTGAGATAAAAGAGCGACCAGGTCATCTTCCAGAAGGAGAACCCAGCTCGTTTCAGGATCTTCATCCTGGGTTAGAAAGAAACCTGAATCAAGGACCGGCATTTCGTACGGCTGAGCTGGTTTCGTATAGTGGCGAAGGCGCTAAGCTAAAACTTGGAGACGGGAATTTCTAGTCTTACCCTAGGTACGAAACCTAGCTGTATGACTTTGGGCCAATGTCAGCCCTGCCTCACCTCGAACCTTTAAGTAAGAAAGATCCTCGACTACATTTGGTGGAAAAGGTATATTTTACTAAAGGTCAAGCAGACTGCAAATAAAGCAAAGCCGGATCTGAGGTTCGCGCGCCAAATTCCCCAGCGCGTTCCCCCTCCCTCCCCAAGACTCTCCCCTGTCTTTGGTCCCTGATTCTCCAATCAAACTCAAACCAGATGTTGTCGATATGCGGCTACATTTCTCCTCCGTTGTGTCTCCGCCAGCACGGTGAAGAACGGAGCCTTCTTCTCACCTCCCATCCGTTTACCTTCCACACACACACACACACAGACCTGAGAGCTCATGGCGGGCTGGCACCAAAACAAAAGTATAACACAGGTGTGAGGTTGCAGTCCTGGCAGCCAGCCACTCCCTCTCAGCCCTAGGTAGGAGGCAATGGCAAACCACTTCCGAAAAACCTGGCCAAGAAAACTGCAGAGTCTCGTCTGGGCAGTCATCTAGAGTTAACACTCACTCAGAACACAAACACACAAAAACACACTCAGACTGAGTACTAGCACTGGTTAAGGGAGAAAGGGTTAGCCTCTCCAATATTTCTCTAGGCCAGGGGTCGCCAACCTTTTGGATCTCAGGGACCACCAATCTCATAATTTTAAATCCCAGGGACCACTAACCGGTTCTGTGGACGTGGCCTAATTTGTAGGTGTGACTTGGTGGTCATGTGACTGGCTGGGCATCGCTTGTAAGTATTATAAATATTTATATAAATATTTTATTAAAAAAGAGCAACTTTTTCCCAAAATTAGGCGAAGCAGGCAGGTAGATTGAGTTGCTTACAGAATTACAGATTCATTCAAAGATCTATCTATCTGCCATCGGCTATCTTAGTCTGTCAGATAAAATTTGCTAGCACGCAAACTCACAAAATTAACTCACAACACACCATCTATGTAAATATTGAATTTTTTATTAAAAAATAGCAACTTTTACCTCAAATCAGGCAAAGCAGGCAGGCAGATTGAGTTGCTCACAGAATCATTTAGTAACCTATCTACCTGCCATCAGCTAGCTCATTTGCTTGCCGTGAGTCTGCACTGAATAATAGAACCTTCAGTCCTAAGGGAGGTTCGGCTGTGCTTAAAAGCAGAGCCAAAGATCTAAAGACTAGCTAAAAAGCAAGAAATCCAACCATTTCCTGCTTCCTAGCTAATCTAAATCTCCCGGTTGGAAAAAAGGAAAAATAGCAATTTAGCAGGCAAGTTTTCTGGGTAAGGAGTGAGTGGGTGGGGAGGGTTCCCGCGGACCATGTGGGCGACGCAGCCTTGTGTTTCTACGCAGCTTTGGAGAGGTGCTCTGGGGGTGAGATTTCTCTGCGGCCCACCAAAATTTTCTCACGGCCCACCAGTTGGCGACCGCTACTCTAGACTGTAATATCACAACTGAGGGCCAGACAGCAACTCCAATGGTCCCCATCTTACAGATAGTCCTTGACTTACAATAGTTCATTTAGCGACCATCCAAAGTTACAATGGCACTTAAAAAAGTGACTTATGACCATTTTTCACAGTTACGGCCATTGCAGCATCCCCCTGATCTACATTTGGATGCTTGGCAACTGACTCACACTTATGACAGTTGCAATGTCCCAGGGTCAGGTGATCCCCTTTTGCAACCTTCTGACAAGAAAAGTCAGATTCACTTAACCACCGGGTTACTAACTTATCAACTGCAGTGATTCACTTAACAAAAGCAGGAAGGAAAGGTGTAAAATGGAGCAAAACTTACTAGGTGATAATTTTGTCATCACTTAGCCACAGAAATACTAACTGTATTCCATAGAAGAAGAAGAATAACCTGTGTTTCCTGTTATAGTGTTCATACTAGTATTTTTAACAATAAAGCCAAGTTGCAACAAACTTCTCTGCCCATCTAGCTGGAAAACTAAACCCAAAAGGCTCGAGAGAAATCTACAGTGAGTTACAAGGGACGTTAAAATCCTCTTTTCAAAATACCTCTTCTCCGCCTTCATCTACTAAAGTCCAGTTTCCAGATTCGGCCCCTGGTGACGAAGGTCTTCGTTCGCTTGGCTTCATGTGGCACATAAATTCCGCTCGATTTCTGCAGGGTATAAAGTACGGCGGGCTTTAAAAAGTTGGGAAGGGAAAAAGTTCCATTTTCTTTTGTTGCTATATTAGAATGGATTGACCCACCTTATCGTGACCTCTCTGCCGAACGCTCCCCAGAAGGGGAACATTAAAACGTGGGGAGCTTGCTTTATTATTTTTTTTTGACTCCGTGAACTTTTGAAATTTCAGGCAACACAAATATGACTTACAACTGTAATGAACCCTGACAGTTACGGTCATAAGTTGCGACGGTTGTAAACTTGGATCGCCCATGTGGCCAACTCCATTTTATGACCATTTTTGTGGCGGTTAAGTGAAAGCTGTGGGGCTTAATTGTTTAATTGTTTGGGCTGGTTTTGCCCCATAACCAGAAATACATCAGAAATAAATAAATAAAATGCTGTCATCTCGCCAGACTGCTAACAACTCAGTTCTGAAATTCTGATGGCCACTCCCCACGCATGGAGAGAGAAAAAGAGAAAAAGAGAGAGAGAGAAAGAGAAAGAGAAAGGGGGGAAGAAAGAGGGGAAGAGAGAGAGAGACTGCTTTTGGAATCCTTTTGGAGTTTGGAAGTGTCGGAATCCTGACAGAGACAGGTTAGGAAAAGAGCTTCAGGTTGTTTAAATTCCCCAATCAAATACAAACTCCATTTTCCCCATAACCACTAGCTCCCACATCCACCCCACCCAGCTGCCTCTTTGCTCCGCTTTTATAGCCAGTTGCTGCTGGGCTGGCTAGGGAGGGGTCTTAAAGGGACAGGGCACCCCCAGCCTTCGTGCTGGTCGCTTTGCAGGCAGCTTGTCTAGGATGCATTAACAGAAGGACAGAATCAAAATCAAGCGTCAGCACCACTTTTACATGCTTTGGGTAAGACCACATTTGGAATACTGCATCCAGCTTGGGACGCCATGATATAAAAAAGATGTTAAAAGACTTCGCAGAGAGTGCAGAGAAGAACAATGGAGAGGATTAGAAGGCTGGAGGCTGAAGCATAGGAAGAACGGTTGCAGGAACTGGGCAGGTCTAGTTTAATGAAAAAAGAGACTAGGGGTGACATGATAGCAGCCTTCCAATATCTCAGGGGCTGCCCCAGAGAAGAGGGAGTCAAGCTATTCTCCAAAGCACCTGAAGGCAGGACAAGAAACAGTGGATGGAAACTAATCAAGGAGAGAAGCAATCTGTAATTAAGAAGAAACTTCCTAACCGTGAGGACAATTAATCAGTGGAATGGCTTGCCTTCAGAAGTTGTGAGAGCTTCATCCCTGGAGGCTTTTAAGAAGAGCCTGGATAGCCATTTGTCTGGAATGGTACAGGCTTGAGCAAAGGGTTGGGCTAGAAGACCTCCCAGGTCCCTTCCAACTCTGTTATTTCTTCCCCCCCAAAAGAAACATGTTTCGCACTCTGAACCTACTTGGCAGGAGACATGAGCAAAGCGAGGGCCTGCATGAAGTGGAAGACACCAGATGGGTTACCCAGTATCTGGATCTGAAAGGAAAAGGGGGGACAAGAGTGAAATTAGGGTGTATTTTAAAAAAAACAACAAAAAAGCACAAATTTGGAGCTCAACATCACAGATGCTGAATTTTCAGAATTCCGAAATTTTTTCATTATACAATTGTATCGAGTAGAGGTAACCCTCCACTTACAATAGTTCATTTAGTGACCGTGCACTGAAAAAATGTGACTTATGATTGTATTTCATAGTTAGGACCTTGGCAGCATTCCCATGGCCGTGTGGATCAAAATTCGGCCACTTGGCCACTAACTCATACTTATGACGGTTGCAGCGTCCTGGGGTCATGTTTTGCAACCTTCTGACAAGCAACGTCCGTAGGGGAAGCCAGATTCGCTTAACAATCAACGTGACTAATTTAACAACTTGCAGTGGTTCACTTAACGAATGTGTTAAGAAAAGTCTTAAAATGGGGTTAAGCTCAGTTACAACAAATTTCTCACTTCACGAAAGATAAATTCTGGGCTCGATTGTGGCAGTAAGTTGAGGACTATATCGGGAGCTGGGAAGGAGGTGAGGAATTTATGGGAGCCGTTGGCAGCCTGAGAAAATCCCCAGACCTCAAGGTCGTGCGGTGGGGACTTCCCAAAAGCGTGGACGGTTTTCCCCAAAACAAAAATGAATGTGCTGGATTGGTGGATAATGGACCAAGGGGTGGCCCAAATGGGGAAAAGGGGAAATTAATTATGCTGGCTTATATGGAAAAAAAAAAAACCCTCAGAGCCAGCTTTGCTTCTTCTGTGACCTATGTGGATCTATCCTGTTTCCCCAAAAATATGACCTACCCTGAAAGTAAGTCCTAGCTTGATTTTTACACATCTGCCCAATATAAGCCCTACTCCCCAAAATAAGCCCTAATTAAGATCCCGCTGGCTCCAGAGTGCACAGATAAAAATTAAGATGGGGTGGGTGCGGGTGGAGCTGCCCAACTACTTACTTTTGGACAGCTGTAGCCAGGCCTCGCACACCCCGACACCTGCCTTGCCGGCCTATTTCTTCTGCAGCCGGCAAGGCTGGCAAGGCTTTCCTGAAGGCCTCTGTAGCTGATAACAAAGAAGCTCTGGATCGATCCAGAGCTCTGTTACTGACTGCAGAGGCCTTTAGGAAAGCCTTGCTGGCTGCAGAAGAAATTCCTAAAGGCCTCCGACAGCAAAAAGGAGGCTGAGGGCAACACAAACATGAGGTTAATCAGTGGATGACGTCCCCCGAAAGTAAGACCTGGTGCCTATTTTGGTGGCAAAAAAAAAAAAGATAAGACAGGGTCTTATTTTCGGGGAAACATGGTGTCAGTAAAGTTAATACTTTTGGTAAAATAATGTCCCAGGACTTGTTTTTGCTGTATGCGGCAACAAAATGGCTGACATGGGGTCATAACTCAAGGACCACCTGTATACGCTTATGAGCTGTCAACTCATTTTGGACTCCAAGGAACCACACAGATTTTCTCCACCACAAAAAGGCCACAGCTCAAGAAATATTTCCTTACATAGTAAATCAAGTTTAGGCACCTGAACAAATGGGGCAGCCCACTTGCTGACCCCAGCCGGACACCGGAGGATGTGGTTTAAGAGGAAAAGGTGGTCTCCTGGAGAAGCAACCCTCTGCAAGATGGAGACCTGGAATGGAGGAAGACCAAGTCAAAAAAAAAAAAAAAAACCCACGTTATTGTCTATGGAGATTCTCAGTCCTCCAGGTCATGGTTGTCGCAAAGGTGCTTATTCAAGAGGCAACTGGACTTTCTGGTTTTTCTTTGAAGACATTTCGCGTCTCATCCAGGAAGCCTGAAGAAACTTCTTGGATGAGAAGCGAAACATCTTATAACAAGAAAGCCCAGTTGTCTCTTGAAAAAGCATCTTTGAGACTACCATTGTTATTTATTCACAATCTACAGCAGCATTGGGCTACCTCATCTAGCCTCACAAGCTAAGCAGGGTAAGGCCTGGTTAATACTAAGATGGAAGACCAGTAGAAAACCTTACAGCTGTAGACTAGGCTAAGTCTGCAGCCAAAAGGACACCCCAGGAAATGACAGTAGAAACCACACCTGTGTATAGATGTCTATGGAGATTCAGGTCATGTTTTTTTTTTCCCAAAGGCAATTGGACTTTCTGGTTGTTGTTGTTGTTTTTATTTAAAGAACTGATGAAGTGAAACGTTTTTAAAGGAAAAAAAAAACTCAAGAAAGTCCAGTTGGACTTTTGGAAAAAAACAACCCTATTTTGAGATACTTTTGTAGTGTTGCTTGAGAAAGCCCCGTGAAATCACTTGGAATTGAGTGTGTTTAAATTAGGCACACAAAATACCTCACACACCCCGCCCAAAAAAATTAAAAATGCTAAAAATTCATTAGATTTTTAAAAAACAAGCAAACCTGTAATTAATACTCAGGGCTTCCACAGTCATCTAATTTAATACCTATGGATGCTGTGTTTCTGACACACAAAATTATGCTCTGTAACTTTTTATAAAAAAAGTACAAAAACATCTGTAAAGTTTGTACACCCTTTAGCTCAAGGGTCTTCAAACCTGGCAAGTTTAAGACTTGTGGACTTCAACTCCCAGAATTCCTCCTCCTGTCATGTTCACTTAGGAATTCTGGGAGTAGAAGTCCACAAGTCTTAAACTTGCCAGGTTTGAAGACCCTTG